CTTCAGTTGGTGATCCCTCAAACTGATTATTTGATACCATTTGGATAATAGCAGGTTTAATTTCAAATGAATTAACCACTATTATAGGTTTTTGAAAACTATAATGAAGTTCATCTACTGTAGGGTTGACATAATCTCTTAATGGTCTAAATTCTTGAAGAATTTCAGCATTTTGATTATTTTGAACTGTCATTTCTATAATTTTTTTAAATTTTTCAAAATTTTTAATTTTTTTTGCTTTTCCTAATTTGCTTAAGAATTCTTTCTAATTCAGAATCCTAGGGCTCTAGTCTTTCAAAACCTGAACTACACATACACTAACAATAAAATAAAATAAAATAAAACACACAAAAATACTTTATAAATAAAATACTATAATAAGATATTCTTATAATAACTCTAAAAGTTTAAATAAGACTTTATAAAATAGAAATTTGCTTTCAATAAATCCCCGGCAACAACGCCAAAAATTTGATCCTTATTGTTTATATACAACAGTATAACAATGTATTTGATTATATTTTTTCACTTATCTTTCCTTACTTTGCAACAATATCAAAAACTTGATCCTGAAGAAAATAAGAATTTAACTTTTTAACTTATATATTGGGATACTACACAAACATACGTATCGTTATCAAGTAATACATAATTTTTTGATTAAGCCCCGAATATCGAACCCACAGAGATTGTTCACAATATGTGATAATTAAAGAAATAAACTTTATACTTCAAAAGAAAAAATACTTAAACTATACTTTTTATCACAAGAATGAAATTTAAACTTTTTTTGGTAGTTTTAATCTGTGAAAATGAAGTAAAAACTTATTAAAGATAACTTGACTTTATGTACAAAAAAAACACTGAATATGAATTATCTTTCTCCTTATCATGAATCAATAATAAATATATGAATTTTGTTGTGGAAGTATTCAAATTATGTTGTGTCAAATATGAGCAATATTATTATTTACCCTTACTAGAGATGTTATAAAGAACATTGACTAATTTAAAGTTTGAATAGTTCTGAAGACTAGTAAGGCAGGGAAGATACTAGCTCTCACTCTAGAGTTCCCTCAGTTCCCTCCATCTGGGGGGCTAACATCTCATTTAAAAACCTAAACAATAAACCAACTTGGGGGCTTTAGCTTGTCACTCTAAAGTCCTTTAACTCTACACCCTTCAAAGATTATTTCCCTATTTATTTGCACTCAATCATATGAACTACACTCTCATTCATGCAATCTCATGTGATTATTTTCAATTGTTGACTGAGACAATACCATCCCGGTTCTTACATGTTCTCACAACAAATTTTAACATCTAGATGGGTCAGATCAAGAAGTAAATGAAATGCCTGGAATTAAATTATCACAACTTCTTCCAACATTAAAGGTTAATACTCTTCACAACTTTCATCCAACATTTTAATTATTTATCATTTTAAGGAGAAAGATAAAGTAAACTACTCAGAATCCATGGAGAAAACAAAACAACATTTTAGTTTAATAGTAGAAATCATTTTCAAACCAACACGAAATCTCGATTAAAAGCAAAAGTAGTTTAAAATAAAGATAAAAACTTATCCCAAATCCTCCACCAAACTCTTGAAGTTCCTTTGAATCTCTTCTCTCTTACAACACTCTTAATTGTCAAAATAAAACTAAAAACAAAAGGAAAAATAAATTTGTGGTGCCTGAAATTTTCTTCAAAAAGCTTCTCCACGAACTTCTTCAAGAACTTTTTAGGACTCTTCTAAAAGTCTCAACTTCCTTCTTTTATAATTTTCCAAGAGGTGCCTTGGTATCTCTTCAAAATGTGTCCTGATTTGATGTATTTACCAAAGGATGTCTGCTTTCACAAGTCCTTTAATTATATTTTTATCCTTAGTGGTTATAACCACCCATTCTAGGCAATAGGTGCCTCAAATGTCCCTTCAAAATTCGTCAAAATGAATTAACCCGTCAAGTATCTGTCATTGGCGTTTAAGAGTGAGGCCTCTAGCACTTAGGGGTGGCCTTCTCTATTTCACCGGCGCTTAAGCGTCGGTTCTAGTGCTTAGGCGCCCAAATACTTTTGCACCATTTTTGCATTTTTGCTCCAAATTTGATACTTTTTCACCCCTTTTAGCAATTTTTACATTTTTACTTGTACCTGAAAGAAAAACACACAAATACATTCCATTAAAGTGCAATATCTCAAGAATAAGTATAAAAATATGTCTAAAGTATAAAAATATGTCTAAAAATACTATATATTTTAGGTGTATCAGCAAGCGTTAGGGGGAGCTACGTTTCCATCCACCCATTCTTCTACTGCTTTCTTTATCAGCAGAATTGGCTGGGTGTGATTTGTTCTTTCTCTCTTTTATGAAGAGCCACCACCAATGTTCAAAGAGCGGGACTTTCTCTCTCTAGTGGCACTCCCAACCAAAAAGGATAAATTCATCATTCGTGAGGCGAGACTGGTTGTATCCTTAAATGGATTCCCAACCGCCAACCTACATTCCCTTTTTGGTCAGTTTCATCCTTGCTGTCGAACCCTCATCTATCTTCTCTCTAAGCTGAAACACATGGTAGAAAAAACTTAAAATTCAGTCAAGCCTGAATTTTGAGTCTTCCTATAGGCACAGCAGAAACTACAGTCAAAAGATAATCACATTTTCCTACTTTCATGGAAACTCCTCTGCATCATTACATGTAAGAGCTTTTAGTCTACCTACAGACACTGCTGGAACTGCAGTCAAAGACAATTAAATTTGTCTACTTCCCTGCAAATTCACTGCAACAATACTAGTAGGAGTTTTTCGTCTACCTACAGACACTGTAGAAACTGCAACCACTACTGTCTACTTACCAGCAAACTCCCCTGCAGCATTATTTGTAGGAAACTTCCGCTTACCTACAAACACTGCAGTAACTCCAGCTAAAAACAACCGCAGTATATGATGAAGACTTCAAGTTCTACTTTACATAATTTTCCTCGCCCATCGTCTGACGTTTTCAAATTCAAGTTAAACTTGATTTTCAACCATGCTTCAACTTGAGGGGGAGTGCTAGGAGCTATACTAGGAAATAATTTATTCTTATGAGAAATTATGAAGAATAAATCATTTCCTTGTATTAATGAGTTATTTCGTTTCTTATTTTATATTTATTCCTTTAGATTATGAGCTAATTCCTTTTCAATTTTAGGTTTTCTTATTTTATGTTATTTGTTTTATCTCCAATTAATTAATATGGTTTGATTATTGGATTATCTTTTTTCTATTAAAGGATTCCTTTTCAATACAGAATTATTTGTTTTATCTTTCCTTTTCATGTTATTTATTTTTATTATTTTTATTATTAAAGGATTCTTGTAAGGGTTATTTATACTCACATCCATATCAATAAAATAATTCTGTATTCCACATTATTCTGAACTTCAATAGACTCCTTCAAAATTTCCAAATTTGCTCATGTTTGGCTCGAAATTGACTTGTTTAAATTAATTAGAAAAATAGATGCAGGATGTTTGATTCGAACTTATACCATTTATATGCAATAAAAGACATACAACTACATGACCACACAAAATGTGTTGATTTAAACTTGGATATCCATATATTACTATATTATATATATATATA